GTACTTCAATTACCATTCCCTGATACTGTAACCATGGTTTTCCCACCTCGTATCGAGCGATCAGTCCTTCTCTTAGCGTTTCCTCTTTGTGGGTCACTGTATCTGGCCCTTCGAGACTAACAACATCTCCGATGAAATGCAGCCAGGAGTTGTCCAGACTAGCGAGTCTTGCGAGGCGTTTGACATCAGGCTTCCACGAGGCCCATATCCTCCACACCGGAAAGAAAGCATCAAAGAGACGTTCTGCACTGGTCACTCCCGCCGATTGCTTCATCGCCGCCGTAATCTTCAAATCCTCCAGCCAAGATGTCGCCTCACGAGCCGCTTTCCACTCATACCGCACCCTAAAGCCTTCCAACTGCGCCGCATAGTCCGTAAACGCGCGTCGCAGGAGCACCCCAAACTCTGGGAGACTATCGAGATTCGAAACGTTTGATTGACGCATAGTCGCATATATTCCTTGGATATATAGACCAGCCGCGGAAGCCCCATGGCTGGCATATGGAAGCAGCATACGCGCCCAGCTTGCTTCGAAGTCGGTCACTGATGCAGGGTTGCCGTGGTTTGCAGCAATAAGGCACTGCAACCATGTATCGAGACCCCAGTAGCTCACCTGCGCAACATTCAACTCTGACGAGAGAAGGGAGCGCAAAGTCTTTGCTGTCATTACATGCGATACCGCAGCAATGGCGATGGATCTTGGTTCATGGCCTTCAACTAGTATTCTTAGTCTTAAGTCTGTATCGGCCTGGCTGAGTTTTCCCTTCCTCTGGAGATAGGAGTCGGTGTGATTTTGTAGAGCTGCGTATGAGAATTTGCTATCGGATGGATGTAGCACTCCAGATGTGGCTTCGATGTTTTGGTGCCACTCTTGGCTGTGTTTTGCTTTTGAGAACAGGACTGAGTTCTTCAGTGGGACAGTCTTCTTGGTCCAGGATAGACGGAATCTTTTATCTGCTGTTCGCTGCTCGGTAGGTGCCATGAGTAAGGTGTCCATTGCTATTCTCAGATGGCGAGTTTACAGCTTTGTGACCAAGAACTCGCCGTTGCAGAAAATGGAGTGTCGTGGAATCGTAATTCAGTAGTTACGCGCTGCCACAGCGCTCTCTCGCAGTCTCGTGATGGTATATTCTTAAGAAAATAAAGCAGTAATATGTTGAAGTCCGTATAGATGTCTCGTCAGACGCTTTCTGGAAGAATAGCTTACATCCGTACAGTAGTATAGAATTCTCATGTACTTCGACAAACGAGCCGAATGAGTGAAAAGGGTCACCGTCGGAATATAGTATTCTCGCCATGGTGCATATCACCAAATAGAGATCGGATAGCATATCCAGAGTATCCGACTAGCCGGTCACTCGCCTGAGGCTGCGCAGCTATGGACGAGGCGGACACGGAGTGGCTCATAGCTTTGAGGCTTGACCGGTTCCCCGAAAACGGCTAGTCGAGTGACGATCGTGAACGCTGGCGATGCAAGTCTACGGGGGTTAGCGAATTCGAAAACAGCAGCAAATGCTAAGCCGCGCCATGTGTAGAGGTCGACTAAGGGGAAGGAACATGAAATCTGGGCGAAATACTGCCGTCGAATTGTGTGTTGTGGAAAGAGACGCTTGAAAGAGGATAAGCCTCAGGCTCGTTACAAAGTTTATGTGCCATGATCATGTGTTCATTTTAGCTCAATATTGCGGAGGAGGCTGAGACTTGGCTAATACCTCAGTGCTCACATATTCACATGTTCCATTTGGCGTACTCGAGGTTGATACTTGCGCCTGTTTCCTTCTGTAGATCTACATGACAATACACTTCTCCTCATCCGGAGCGACACCAGTATTCTGTCTGAGGTATGCCGCAGCTTGCGTAATGAAATCGCCCGTCTTGTGAAAACAAACCCGATTGCCCTTGGCATCCCGGACGCTCTCTCCAATACTGAAGTCGTAAGACTGCCCAGTGTGTGAATCCTTTGCCGGACATTTGAACTCGTCAATTGCTTTTTGTTCGAGTTCAGGGACTACAGCAAGGTCAGGTCTACGGTAGAAAGTTGAGATGGGTAATAAGAATACGTACGCGTTGCAATATACGCCAGGAATTCATCGACTGCTACGCGACTTGGCAGTGTTTCGCTGGACTGATCTTCCAGAAGGATTTTAGCCAGCGCCTCCATCTTTTCGATAGTCGCAATGCGGATACCCTTCGACATCTCGTGCTGTGCAACCGCAAGCGCACTAATTGGCCGTCCGAGAGGGTGCATGAGGATACCCTTGATATCGTGGGGTGTGAACATTTCTTTGCTGAGAGGGTTGCGTAATACACCGCTATTGGCTTTAATTGCGTCGACTAATTCTGATAGATCCTTTATAAAGAAACATAAGGTCAGTATAGGCTTATATGATCAAACCCGCTGGTTACGTACCCAAGCGTAATTGTCCTCTGTGACGTAGAAGTTCTCTCTAGGTATATCCCGGACGCTATCCATGAGCATGGTTTCTGTATTTGCGTAATTCCTTCCCAGGTGCTCATGCTCCATGTGCATCAAAGCCAGATCACAGTGTATCTTAAGCTGGTCCGGGAGGGCATCGGCCAGCATGTTTTTGCGCTTTACGAGGAATTCTCGGATGTTATCGTTATCGGCATCTGATTGCTTGTCATAGGAAGCTCGCATCCACTTCATTGCATGCTCTAGGTCCATCACGAGAATATCAGTAGCATCTGTAGGATAATCTTTGGCCTTGCGTGCCACAGATCTGACACTGCTCGGAGGTTCAGCTTTCAAACTCGAGTTTGGTTTCCCTCCATGTGCGAGAACTTCAATTCTTGATATGTTTTGTGACTGGGCTACACCGGCCTTCTTTTGTAATGTCTGCAGATGAACGAGGTTGGAAAAAACAAAGGCAGTTCTTGCCTGAAGAGTAGCGTAGCCCTCGACCAGATCTTTCTTTGCAGTATCTAGGTCAATATTTGCTGGGGGCGTTGGATCACTGGACTGTTTCGAGCCTTTTGGTTGGGTAACAGTCTTGTACGTGGCCGATTTAGGATCCCACTCTAATTGTTTTGCTGAAGGATTTGACGTCAGGGACACCAGCTTCTTGGGTTCTTCAGAAGCAGGTGGTTGAGGAGCTTTCTTTTCGAGAATTTTCAGTGATTTGATAACATCGGAGTCCTTGGGAGCCAGTTCTTTTAGCTCTTTCGCATTTTCCAATGCAGCGTCGTGCCAGCCAACCGAGAAGTAGTGTTCGACGAGAAGTTTCCTCGCTGCAATGGCCGGAGGATTGCCAGAGATTTCCTCTAGTAGTTCACCGATGAGAATCATGTCCGGGTCGCCAGATCCTATGCTACTAGAGTCTAGAGACATGGTCTGTCCAGGAGGACCGCGCAAAAACGTAAGCATTGTGTTCCCCGAGATAGTAGTAGCGACTTGATGAGCGGTGCGGTTGTGTAAGTACCTCTTAGTAGAAGCAATCGAGGTGGAAGGTCATGTGCATACACATGATATCCAAGAGGACCGACGGTGTACTAAGAACGTAGGGCATCCTGTGCAGGCACAAGATGGCACTGAGGTATGTATTGGGGGCCTATTCCAATCACCACCATCTAAAGATTGACAGGCTAACACCAGTTAAAGGCTTCGAAGCGAAAAGATGCAACACGGTGCATATGCATGTTCCGCACCTTGTCCGTAAATGGTGACCGTGAGTGATGAAGCTCAGCCACCTAGCAAGGTTCAATGGGCGGCGGCGGCAGTGCACGCTAGCTTGCAAGGTTAGGCTACCGGTACTACATAGGTAGACGACAGCCTTCCAATTATGGTTTTGATGCTCAAAGCATCCTCGCGCAAGACCCGTAAGTGGACGTTTCGTTCAAACAGAAGGGCGTGAGTCAAATTGGAATCGCATCATAGCAAAATCTAATTGCAGTTGCGCAGCAGACGGGTATCAGTGTAAAGGGAGCATCACTGTCTCGCTCGATGGTGGCCACTAGAACAATAAATCCGCGAACTCACCCAACACGCCGTCCTTTCCACCATCGAAATAGCTGTGCAATGCATCCAACTCCGCGAACTTGACTGCCACCTTGAGCCCTCGAAGTCGTTCAGCTTCGATGGTATCCCAATTCCAATTGTCTGCACCGACAGGTTTTGGGAGCAACCCCTCCACACTCTCATCTTCGTCACCACTAATTTCCGCCTTCTCCTGGTATGACCATCCTTCGGGCTTCAGTGGAACCATATCAGCGTCTGTCAGGGCCACCTCAGGAGGTACCGTGACCCGTCCTCGTTTGATCACATATTTAGCAATGGCAGTCGCATATACTGCATTCAGGAGTTTGTCCTTGTCAACATTCTGGTCTACTGTTTTAGCCTTTTTCCAGGGTTGGAGACTCCAGCTCGAAGGTTGCGCAACACCAGGTTTGACCAAGTGGGTGACAATATAGAGCCATTTCTTGTCCCAGCAAAGTAACCTCGACCACATCTCATACTTCTTGTAGGGCGGGATCTCCTTTTTGAATAGACAGCTGATTCCGCCGAGTGCAACCAAATGCCTCCCGCGTGTGCCATCTGTCGCCCCCACACTACCCGCGACAGCGCTCTTCTTCGCACCATACAACCGACTGTTCTTCTTGATCGCGTTTCTGAGTATGGCGGTACAAAGGTGCGTGCGCGAGATGTCCATGTCCGCGAAGTAAGTACTGTTGGACTTGTGGAGATTGTAGTCCGTCTCGAGGAGTGTGGTACGTGTAGACGTGATGGCCGGTTGGAAAAGTGCATGAGGAGGAATCGCCGTTGGTTGTAGATAAATTTGATATAACAGGGCGCGGAAAACACGCAGCTGTGATAAATTGTAAGCGTCTCTGTAAAAGTTGCTCGCTTGCCTTGGAGACCGGGATAGTGGCACATACATGCCACACAAATGGGAGGTTCTTGAGATTGACTAGAGCCAACAAGATGGCTGCGATTCGCCATAAGCCACCAGGCGCATCATACCCAGTGTATCGCGACAAGTTGGCCATCAAATTCCCCCTCAGCGTAGGCTGCGACGCGATTGCCATCATGGAAGCGCCGGCTAGAGCAACGCCTGCTACGTGCGCCATACCCAAGACACCAAAAGCAAAATACATCAAATGAGGGAGTCTATATAGAAAGGGAAGAAGAAGCAAAACGCTCGAAAACCGATAAAGGAACGGGACTGCGTCGCAATGGCTGCTGGGCGCTTTCTCACTTGTCAGCCTTTCATTTGCATTTGAGCGTAGTTGGGGCCGAGGCTCGGCCAAAAGCCAGGCTAAAGTCCGAACATGCCCCCTGTCTCTGTCCATAATGCGCGAACCTTGAGACCTCCGACATTCACTGCCAGACGCGGCGACATCATATGCATGGTAATTCTGCAAATCGCACCCTAGAACATCGCAGGACACGGATGGTATGACTGTGGTCTGTGAAGACCTCAAACAGAAATATATTTCAGTGGGGGAATCTATTTCACAGCCAGGCCTGCAGGTATGGTCAGGTCACTTGCAGCATGTACACTTCACTTTCACAGTTTCTAATAGCTAGCCGATATACACCTTATTCATGCCATATATTCACAATGTCAAAATCTAGATCTTTGTTTGGAAAACTCACAACGTTGTTGTGTTGTTTTTTGGCGGGCACTTTTCATCCATTGTGTCCCCATTCACGACACAATCGACAATGGTAGAACAAGCCAGAATGGAACAAAGGCTATTGTTCGCTTGTCCTTACTCTGGATATAGCAAAAAAATCTTGACTAAAAAGATTGCTCGTCCATGATACTTTTTCCTCAAAACACAACCTTCTTACCGTACTTCTGTCTCGTTCACTCGTCCAATATATACAGCACACATGGCTCCTCGTCCTCGTGGGAGTGCTCCTACCCGATCTAGCGCCCGTATAAGAGCTGCGAACCCTCAGGCACCTCGTCCTGCTGCTCCAGTTTTTAGATTGAAGTCGGATCTCCAAACTCAGCGCGATGTGATTGTACAACTACCGTCTCCATGGAAGGATGATTCACTGATTAGTACATAGAACAAACGTATCAGTAAGCTATGGCTTCCTGGCCGAGCTCAACGTCGAAGCAGAGGGATACATAACCCCGGCAATTACTGCTACATGAATTCGGCGTTACAAGCTTTCATGCACCTACCAAGCTTCCTGAATTGGATCTTGACTCACAGATCCGCTGGGAACAAGAAAGCCGAGGTGTTTCGACGTAATTGCAACAACCCATTGGACTGTGGAGGCTGTGCACTAAAATCCCTGGTCCTACGATACTGGTCAGAAGACGGGAGTCCGCGGGCACTCTCTTTTCCGCGCACCTTTGAGGCAATTGCGGTCAACAGTGGGCTGTTCGAACAATATCAGCAAGATGATTCGTTCGACTTTTACGAACTCATGCTATCACGGCTTGAGACTGCCACTAAGTAAGTGGCTACGGGACTCTGGTATCTAGAGCACTTGACTAACATCTACTAGCGATCAGGTGTGGCGAAATGAGTTCAACACTCTGTTCTCTATAGACACCTCCACCAATGTCATTTGCGATATTTGTCATCAAGAACGATTCCAGACAACACATCGCGAGCAGGGAATGATCTTGCTAGTCCACAATCTTGAATTGACCTGGGACGATATCCTTGACACCTATTTCCAAGACGCAATCGGACCCTTGAAATGTCCGACTTGCGATGGCCAGACCAGTCAGGTCACCAGAACGAAGATCGTGGCAGCGCCTCAAATCCTCAAGATCAAGCTTAACATGTTCGTCATGGTGCCAGAGTCAGGATCATATGAGATGGTCAAACAGCAACACAGGATTCAATACCCTGACGTCCTGGACCTTCAGGCCCGTCAACTACACGATCACTTCCCGCTTCGATATCGACTCTCCAGTGTCATATCCCATGAAGGGTCAGGGACTGGCTCTGGCCACTATATTGCGAGTGCCCGTGGCCCTCTTGACGACAGAGATATTCGCTGCATTTCCGATGCTGGCACCGAGCCATTTACGCTGGCGCAACTGTTGCAAAGCCCGCAGCAGCCCAGATTTGTGTCCCGTGGGGCGAAGGAGGCGTACATCTTGACATATATCAGACAAGATGTACCACTGACGCGCAAACAGCGTGAAGCCCAGGCCCTCGTGTCGGAGATGGTGTAAATGCCATTCACCGGATCGAAATGTTTTTGTAATGCAAGCTTTGTGCACAAGGCTTCGTAGATCCTGCTTGTTTTTTTCGTAATTTTTTTTTCGTCTAATGGCATCCTCTGTAGAAGTCAACATTTTGCTCAATTTGCGACATATAATCTATCGCGCTGCTTTGAAATGACCATGTGACTGTCAAGAGACCTTAGTTTGAGGTCTTGACCGTCATATGGCATCTTGAGATCATTCATATGTGTTACAAAAACACGTGTGATCACTAGAAGCATCTATCAGCAAGCGCTTACGTGTTGGAATAACGTATAGAACCTTCAAAATAGATGATTTAACTACTCTCTTGCCTCAATGTTAGGGCGTATGGTTCAAAGGCCAAGAGTGAATGTACTCACCCACCTCGACCGACCTAGAAAAATTGCTAGGACTGCTATCACGATTCACCTCTAGTTTAAAAGACCGAAATACCATTCCGATTCATTGAAACTACCTCCAGATAACTAGGGTGAATTCTGGCAGCAACTATTTTCAGACTGCACTTGGCCTACGCACAATGGCTACTTCTATTGTCCCTAGCTTAATGCAAGATGGGATAGTAAGCGTTAAATGCACAGTAGGACGCATTGTTATCCTAGACCGTGGAATTATTAAAGAAGCCTACATTGTACAAAGTCATTGTTTGTCTTGGATTCCTTTCACCATTGTATATACATTGCCAGCAGCCCACCATATTTGCTAGACGTGTAGCCTCAACACCAAATTTCGTTATACATGGATTCACTTTACTCTTCAGAAATATTCAAATTAAACATATCATGGCACCCTCAAACACACTCCACAGAACTGGCCGAACGGGTGGCCGCTACAATCTCCGCGGCACAGCCATTCACGCTCCTGCCGCCACGACTCCCAACCAAACCGCCAGACAATGCGCAAGTGACCGCATTGCCAAAAGAGGCCTGAAGAAATCATGGCCCATTACTAGACGCAGTCGAGCAACGAGGGGCCTCTCCCGTGTTGGGAATACATGTTTCATGCTCAGTGGCCTCCAGGCCCTGCTGCACCTTCCCAAATTCCTCAACTGGATCCTCTCGCACAACACCGCGCGGTTTCCATGTCGACCGCTGTGGGAAGTGGGCAAGGCACTGGCAGCCAAATTTATGCGATGGGAAGCCGAGGCTTTGAACGTTCATGCCTGTCCGGCTTGCGTTGTGAAGCGCTTCGTTGAGGAGTACTGGGGGCCGGCACTGTGCCAGCAAGTTGCGCCTTATGCGCCGCTGGCGTTCGCACATGGACACCCGGTGATGCGTGAGATTCGTGCTCTGGATAGGAGTCTATACGCCCTCACGAGTGGAGCAGGAAACGATGCACAGCAGGATCCTGCAGAGTTCCAAGATAGAATCTTGGTGGCGTGCTGGGCGTCTACCGACGACGAGTATGTGATTCCCCATACCCCTTTGTCCCTACTAATGACTATCAAACAGTCTCTGGCGCGACCAATTCGACGCCCTATTTGAACTGGAAGTAGTGTCCACCTGGGTCTGCGGGACCTGCAACACCTCCCGGCCAGGAGGCCCCGGCGCCTCCACCACATCCATAGGTATCCAATCCGTCAGCATTCCCCCCACCGCGTCGATCTCAGGACCCAAACCAAGACCCAGGCTCAGTCGACCGCTCCATCCACGCCAAATACGCCGACACCACCTGGTCAGACCACCAAGACTGTACTGTCTGCGGGAGAAAACGTGTCCGCATCGAACGCCAGTCCATGAACAAAGTCCCAGAGATTCTCCGCATCAGCCTCTCCCCATCCATGATGAATCATTTCACAGGGCAGGCCATATTCAATCCTAACCCCATTGCTATACCGCAGAAGCTCGATCTCTCCGTATATCAGGACGTGCCTGAGCCCAAGGCACATTTAGAGTACCAGCTCGAAAGCGTGCTCTCCCATTCCGGCACACTGCATTTTGGCCATTGGGCTGCGTCCGTGAATGCGGATACGGGCATCTTTTCGGTCAACGACGATCGAGTTCGCGAGCGCATGAGGCTTGTGCGCAGTCCGGCGTCTGCGCTGAAGATCAAGAAGAAGAGGAGTGCGGCTGGGGTGGCGAAGAGGAAGCGAAAGCAGACGGGTCCGCGAATGGTGAAGAATTGGGGTTCCTTGAGGTCGAATCCCCAGGTGATACGGGAATGGACTACGAAAGATGGTTCCCCGATTGCACGGGAGAACGTCATGAATGCTGTTATTCTGACCTATTCGCGGTGCGCAACGAAGCGTCTCCTCTTGTAGATTTCCGTGTGGAATGACTCTGCTTGCTCTCGTTGGAGACTGTGTCCTCCTTTTGATGCTGTCAACTGTTGTAGCACGCTGTTTAGGTGTTATGCCATGATAATTGTGTTTTAGTAGAACCTTGGAGATTGGGGCCCTTGAGATCGTATCTTAGATTATAATTGACTTTGTATAACTTATGCCTCCGTCCCAGCCTTCCGCTTCCGGCTCCTCTTCTTTTTCTTCTTTTCGCCTTCAACAACATTGCTTGGATCCTCCTGTACTGCACCACTAGCCTCAGCGCCAAGCAGCGTCTCAAAGCCTCCCTTGGGCCCTTCAGCATCTCCAAAAGTTTCTTGCCTCCATTGCCTCAAACGCGCCTTCTTACTGAGGTGTTTTTTATCCTTCTTCTTCTTCTCGGGATCTCGGAACGAAGCTAGCTTCTTCAAGCCAGCAAATTCATTTAGTTGCTTGTCGTCCGCCAGCAGAATATCACGTGCTGTAAGACCGAACGTGGTCGGCGAGGTCTCGCGATAGCGGAATTTCGTAGCGGCTTTGGGTTTTGCTGCGAGCGCTCTCTCGTATTCGAGATTCTCATTGACGAGATTCTCGATGAGGCGGCGGTCGCGCCGGCTCGCACTTTTGGCTTCGGCGCGTTCTTGTTTTCGCTTCTTAGATGACTTTGCGGACGTGGCATCGTCCGTATCTTCGTCGTCATCAGCCCCCTCATCGTCCGAAGAGAGCGTGATATCAGGAACCTCCTCATCGTCATCCTTGAAGTCAGGAACGAGGTCCTTGATATCAATGTCGTCATCAAATTTGGGCTTCTTCAGTTTCTTCCTCCCTTTCGTGCCTTCATTCTCCTCGCTCTCCATGCCTGCATCGCCCTCATCATAGTAAGCGTCGCCAAAGCGCTTTTGCATCTCAGCGTCCCAACGATCATCTGACCAGTCTGCTTCGAGGACATCTTTCCATTCTTCAAGCTTGAAGTCCCTTCCACTCAGACCCCCGATTTTTCGGATTTGCTTGACTTTTTGCTCCATATCCTCCATCTTGAGCTTCTTCAACCGAGCCAACTCTTTTTCCTTCTCCTGCCTCTCCGCTTCACGTTTAGCACGCGCAGCCTCGCGAGCCTTGCGTCGTCCGTTCACATCGTCGCGGCGGACGGTGGTACTGGCGACAGCATCACGAGCATATGTCACAATCTTTTCATTTGCACCAGCCGTGCTTTCAAAGTATAGATTGTAGGAGTTTTCCCATTCGTCGGCCGCTGCGTCTTCTTCCTCATCGTCAGACTCGAGTGGTTGGAAGCGGGATTTGTCCGATGGTACCCATGCGCGCGACGCCATGAAGTTGGAAAGGAAGGTCTCGGGGTCCTTGTCGGCATTTTCTACATCCTGAGCGGTAATTTTGACACGGTCCTTGTTGGACGAGGCAGGCTTAGGCTTGGCGACTAGGAAGTCGTCCTCTTCCTCCTCGTCTGCGTCGTGAAGCTTTTTGACGAGCTCCTGCCTGGCCTCTTCCTGTTCTTGGGCATACGTCTTCGGCGGTGCCTCTTCCTCATCGTCCGCAAATCTGCCCTCTAGCAAGTTCTTGGTATGGTAGTCTTTGAGAGTCATTGGCTTTTCCTTCTCTGTGCCGTTTGCACCACCATTGTCGTCGCCCTCTGGGTCGCGATAGAACTTGACTTCTTTGTTGTATATGCGGGGGTCCTTGGAGCGCAGGGCCTGTAGGGTGGCATTGACTTGATCGTCGAGATCCTCGTCGAGAAGTTCTGCTGCATCATCTTCCTCAACGCCCTCTTCCGAGTCCTCGGAGTCTTCGTCTTCGTCCATGCCTCTGTCTTTTCCATACTTCTCCTCCACTGCACACTGTCTGTCAGCATGGGCGCAAAGAAATATAAAATTGTCAGCACGTACACCGCTGCTTCTCCTCGCGCTTTTTGTTGTACTCAAACCGACGTGCATATTCCTCGTTGACTTTTAGGGAGACGCCGCCTTCTTCTTCATCAGAACCCTCGTCGTCGGTGTTGTCGAGTAGTTTGGCCTTCTTCGCCGGCCTCTCAGGCATGCTCTTATGCGCAACAGAGTCACCGTTCAGCTCGCGCTTGACGCCATTGTGGTGCTTCTTTTCCTTCGTGCCAGCCATGGTTCGTGGTTGGATCGAGTGTGGGTGGTATGAATGTAAAGCAACAGCGCGGGAGAATTACAACTTCTCAATTAATCAATTTTTTTCTTATTGGATGGGAAACTGGAAGGCGCTAATTTAGGTTTCCTTAGCAGTGGACCCTGTCGTCGTCGGCCTTGGGAGCAACGACCGACCGCCAGACCTTCTCATCAACATCGAGTTGCGCCGCGCTCAGGGCAACGACTACGCCACGACGCGGCCCCTCCTTCTCCTCCGCTGCTTCCGCCATGTATAATAGTTTGCATCTTGTTTTCTCCTGATTTGTCTTGATTAGAAACGGTTGGTCTGTTGGTAGCATAGTCCTCTTGTCGGTACGACGACGTCATGGCAGAGGAGCAGCCATCACAGGTCGCTGTCGAACCTGTGGATAAGCCACTGGCTTTGATGTAGGTTGAGAGGATGCTACATGCACCAATTAGGAAACACATTGTAACTCACTTCATGGTAGCCCCGTCGTGATCAAAGAAGCAGCCCTCGATTCGCCCACCTTTCGCGCGACCGCCGTCCACTTTGGCGACCAGATCGAGCTCATCGAGCGATGGCTGACTTCGTTCATACAAGCGGCCTCACGCCTCGCAGCGGAGACGAACAACATGCAGTCACTCGTCGACACGTACATATCGGCGTCGCACCCACCACTGCAGCTTTCAGAAGCGGTGCTCGACCACGACTACACCGTCTTGGCTTTGAAGCGTTTTGGAGAAGGGGCACGCGAGTTCTGGAACAGCACACTGCGAAGTCTACGGAGAACAGAGACGACTGTTTGCGAGCCCATAAGGAATTTTCTGCAAACGGACCTGCGTATGTTAAAAGAGGCACGCAAAAATCTCGACTCTTCACAGCGAATATTCGATGGCGCCATTGCGCGCTACGCCGGCCAGGTCAAGAGCAAGGAGGCATCGTCCCTGAGGGAGGATGCCTTTCAACTCCATGAGGCGAGACGGGCCTACCTCACAGCGAGCATGAACTTCTGCATAATGGCCCCACAAGTGCGGCTGACGCTGGACAAAATCCTGGTCAAGGTCGTGAACGAGCAGTGGCGCGATATGAAGGGTGCTACCGACGCCTCCGCCAAGGGCTTCTCCATGTGGACCTTCGATGTCGAGCGCGTCCGAGGCTGGAGCAAGGAGATGGAGAATGGCGAGCGTCTCTTCAAGCGCGAATTGCACCTGGCGCGAAAGCAGATTGAGGACGCCGCTGAACTCAGCGCCCGCCCTTCACGAGAACTAGATACATACGCCGCCTCCACTGTTCCTTACTTGGGCACGGCTCCGTCATCAGCCAACGTCCAGTCTCCTGTCAAGACAGATGTTGGGAATGAGAAAGCAGAGAAGCAGGGCTGGCTATTCCAGCGCACAATTACAGGTAAACCCGCCCGGACATATTGGGTCAGGAGATGGTTCTTTGTCAAAAACGGTATATTTGGCTGGCTCACACAAGGCACTCGATCTGGTGCTGTTGAGGAGTCTGAGAAGATTGGAGTCCTGTTATGTGGTATACGTCCCGCTTTTGCAGAGGAACGCCGATTCTGTTTTGAGGTCAAAACCAAGGACACTACCATCCTGCTTCAAGCCGAGACCCAGGGTGACCTCACTGAATGGATATCCTCCTTCGAAGTGGCTAAGCGTAAGGCTCTAGAAGACACTTCCAAGGATACGTCGGGCAGCAATTCAGGCGATGCTGCCTTCTCTATCAGTCCTCCAGTTGCACCTGAGTTCGCTGCGAAGACTTCTGAAGGTCACGCTGCGCATCCGAGCGATGACCTTGGTGGCATTGATCGCGTCGAAACATCGCTTGGTATACCTGGAGGTGATGGGCTAGCAGGGCGAGGCAGTGTCGACGTTATCCGAAAAAATACTGCCATGGAGGGTGAGAGCGGTCGACGTGATCATACCACCAGAATCATGGAGAAGCTCGATCTGACGCGCAAGTCTACCGTAGGACCTCAGCTAAGCGGGAGCAATCCCTCCTCTGCCACCGGTGGCATTGCCAGTCTCATCTCTGCCAGTCTCGCTTCGGCTAGCCACAGCATTGTACAAGTTGGGCAGGTCATGGCACCTGCTCCTGGGCTTCCTGATACACGTCTTGTAATGGGACAAACATTGCCTTTCACAACGCTCGCTCCTTCCACGCTGGCAAACCCGCCCGCACCGACTAATCTTAGTAAAGCCGCCGTTGCTGTGAGTGGAGAGCGCGGTTTGGGAATAGGTCGTGCTGGGAATATGCCTGGTGGACTTACAGCCAACCTGTGGGGATCTGTCAATTGGGGTTATGTGAACCGTTTGCTACGAGAAGACGAGTCGACCACTCGCGACCGTAGTCAATCTGGTCCACCGAGTCCAGTAAAGGCTTCACCAGCCGTGCAGCCTGTCAACGATGATACAAGCGCCTTACCTGCTATACCATCTACGCCAGCAGGACCAGGTCATCGTAAAAGTACGAGTATGGGTGGTCCGGCTCCATCGCCAAACAAAAATACTGCAACGGGTGAAGAATTTCCCAATCACTATCCACTTGCCTTGCGTATGCAGGACGCACAATTCCGCATTCTCTTTCCTACCGTGCCACGGTCTGAGAAAGTTGTTATGGTTTTCCGTGCCGTGTGGAATCCAACGGAACAACAGGAGTTCCCTGGCCGAGTATACGTCACGTCAAATGATATATACTTTTACAGCAACCACCTCGGTCTTGTTCTAATCACAGGTCTCATCATGTCTTCGATCGATGAGGTCACCGCCGCACCCGGAAAGGACTGCGACTTCCTCTTTCTACACTTCAAGACCGGCTCGAGAGAAGACGGCGCAACACGAATCACCATCAAAACCTTCTTGGAGCCTTTGAAACTGCTTCTTAGACGACTGAACTTTTTGGTGAAGAATGCTGCGACAGGAGATCACAATCTTGAGGAGACGATGAAGAGGCTGATAAAATTCGAGACGGATGACGGTCAACAAATGGCAGGCGAAGATGGCTGGGATCATATGTCCCCAGAGAATCCTGTCGATCCACAATACGGTGGTAAGAACATCAAAACAAGTCTGAGAATTGACGGCAATCTGTTTGGGCCATCAGGTGCGAATGGCGGGAAGAGCCTAGCCAAATTCAAGCTGCCGTCTCAGCCTGTTGTCTTTGCTCCTGCTGGTATGACGCAGGTTGCAGTCGAGAAAGAGTACGATATTAGTGCCAAAGCACTATTCCATATCCTGTTTGGGGACAAATCTGCTGTGTTCCAGCTACTCTATAGGGAGCGATGGGCATCACGTGTTGTTCAAGGACCATGGACATCGAGCGACAAGACACATCAACGCAGAGAGTTCGAGTACGAAATCGCGCAGCCCGGCAAGAATGGAGCTATAGTCATCAATGACTATCAAGTTATCGAGGTACTAAATGATCATCTATGCTATGTGGTTTCTGACCGAAAGACGCCCTGGTACCTGCCGGGCAATGAGCGCTTTGTTCTGTTGAGTAAGACTGTCATCACCCACGTCTCAAAAGCGCGTTGCAAGCTTGCCATCTACATCAAAGTTGATTGGAAGCGCGATCCACGCTTTGCCAAAAAGCTTATTGAGAGACAAGGTCTCCAGGACATGGAGCTGGAAGCCCAGGATCTTGTAGACGTTGTCAATGATCAAGTTGCAAAGCTCGGCCACAACAGGAATACAGCAAAAGTGACTGGCATTTTCGGTCAGGTCGGGGTACAGACACAAGCCGTGCAGCTTGATGCGCAAGATATACCACCACCGAACCGCCCGCGGAAGTTTAAGCTACGTCCCCAGACGACCGGCTCTTTCATCGCCCAGTTCCTTGGAAACATCGTCATAAGTATCTTTTCGACAGTCATGAGTTGGATTCTAGCTGTAATGGCTGGCCTAGGCAAAGTTCTCTCAGCACACACTATTCTTGTCACCCTACTACTCATCAGTGGAGGAGCAAATTTCTTCTACACTTCAAAGAACAGTTGGGATTGGTGGAATGAGCGAAAGGCTGCCGGCTACATGTCACGGCTAGGAGTTGGCCCATCCACGACAATGACGCGATCAATCTACATACATGACATTGAAGAATCGTTCCTCAACATCAACGACACAAGCCTTGAGCCATCGGCACCGATTGTCAGCGGCACAGATAACAAGTGGTATGACTTACCGAGCATCACTTCCGAGAGATAGCTAACAGCCTACAGTCAACAAACATTTACACACCTCCTACATGATCCATCTTCAACACCTTCTTCTCACTCGCCCATTAGCCCATCAACGCGCAGTGTACGTCGACTGCACCGGACGCGTCAGAATTTGGGAACACATCGTCACGACCTGCTCGTTGCCTTGCGTGTCGTGAATCGCATCGAGAAGGAAGTCGTGGAGGCGGAATACAAAAATTGGTTGCTCGATGAGACACATAAGTGTAGCAAGGTACGTGCCTTGTTAGAAGAGGCAGGTGGTAAAGGAAAGGAGGAGCAAGTGGAGGCTTGGGTGAAAGGCTACTGTGGCGATTGTAAGATGAGCTTGGACAGCATTGAAAGGGCACATAAAGGTCTAGCATGATGGTGTTGGATTGAGCGTATTTTCTGCACATAGGGCATCGCATCGCCTGGATCAATCCAAGATGAAAAGTGGCGATACTGTCCACTGAAGATACCGATACTGTACAATCTTCAATGGTTTCCTTTCATCTTCAGCACTACAGATGCTTTCCTATCCAATAATGTGGCTCGGGGGCGCTGTGCCGGCCATCAAGGTACTACCACACAAAACAGCAAGGTACTCACACTCCTCCCAACGCCTCTTCACCCAACATTTTCTTGTCCTTCTCACCACAAACACGCTTCATCTTCTACGGCCATTGTCATCTCCCACACCTGACGGAAAACACGCGATCCACGATGTCCCACGAATCAGTCTGGTACTCGCGTCCACGCACCTACGGCAAAGGCTCGCGCAACTGGTACGTCAAGCCATCAACAATGAAAAAAAAACCTCTCAGCGCACACATCTCAACATTCACTCTTGACATGAGATTATGATGGCGAAGGAGGGGCCTGAGGTATAAAGTAAAGCTAACGTCTTCCCAAACCCCCAGCGTCGTAACAGGCGAAAAGAAAAAAGCCGGAATCATCCGCAAATACGGCCTCAATATGAGTCGTCAGGCTTTCCGCGAGAAGGCGGCGGATATTGGGTTTGTCAAGGTGAGTCGTGTCGGTCTCTGCTCCAAGGAGAGGAGCCGTGTGCGATGGTGCATGCGAAGGGACATGTGAGCGATAATACAGGGGCTAATGATGAGTAGTACCGGTGAAGTTGTCGCGGAGGTTCCGTTCACGAGGAGGGAACATGTCACTCAAGGATAGGAAATCCATGAGTGTATTTGAACGTGGATTTGTGCGAGATGCGAAGAGAGCATTGTGCTCAACAGGTCGATGTAGTGGTATTGCAGACTATTGAGAGTGACAATGCGGGGCACTCTGGTCAATCATCTAGTGAATTGCATGCATCGACGTGTTACTACACAGCCAGTACACATCCGCCAAACTCGTTGAAGCAGGTGGCTGTAAAAAGCAGTTTCCGCCCCAAAGCAGCGGTGTCCTGTCCTTATCCGATGCCCTGTCCCCAGTAGTTTTACAACAAGGTGACATTGAATTTATCACATTGACTTCGCTGAACTTTCCAGCCTTTGTCTTGTACACACACCATTTCTTATCGTCTCTCCAGTCGCCCAGGTACTTGTTACCGTCGGTGAATGTTATCCCTAGGTCGGTCGCACAACAACTGTATGCTGTTACGTCCGGCTTGTTCTCCGCGGGCCCAGTGCAGTAGCACGCCCAAGTGTCCTATGCAAAACATTAGTTCGGCTTATTTATTGGAAGAGAGGCCAGGAATAGGAGAATAGATATATGTACCTCAGGATCGGTAGCATAAGCCACGCTGGTTTAAACAAGCAGAATAGCGGGCAAGGAGAGTTTCATAATAGAGAAAGGGCTTTTTGGCGGAATATGAGGGTTTCGAAAAGACGGATATTGTAGATTACGCAGAATGTGTGCGGCACAGAAGTGAATAAGAATGAGGGATTATCTGTACTTAAGCAACTTTCGAACAAACTGCGGCACTCGGCTGAGATTTGGCAAGAGACGCTACCAGTATAGGCTGATGTGAGAAACTGTGAAGTGATGACTTGGCTCTACTACCGTATAAACCGGCGATTAATTCAGTCGTACCAAGATTACTACTAACCAGGGCAAATCTAGTGGATAACTTAAGTGGCTATAATCTACAGAGGTAGCTTTTAAAAGTTCTTGCTAACAGGGGTGTCTATACTACTGCCGTGATACCACTAAAGCTTAGACTACTTAGTCGCGCTGCCCCTCTATATACTTATTACTACCTTCTAGTCTAATAATCTACTAAATATAATACTAAATATACTCTATCTAAGCCTAGATTTAGT